GCCACATGTCTGACTTGCTAAACATGTCTCGCTCTTCATGCTCACCACGATTTTTTGCTGGGGCACTCTCCGCGTTTCTCTCTACCCTCGTAGTCGACTCGATGAACTTCGGAGCTGGCGGCGGGTGGCAAATGCTTTGGAAACATATGTGGACCCATAGCCCTTCTTTCCCAAAAGAACCTGACGAGACACTCGGCGATTTAGCCTGACTGGCAAACTTCCACCTTTTCCACCATCCTGACTCAACCAGCCTCGCCTCCAAACCTGACATCTGACTCATTCGCACACTCACGACCAATTGGTTTCTGAAGCACCACTGGAATTCTTGAGAATTCGATAGGTCACCATGCGTGGGCGACCAACGGAAATTGCAGTCTTCCACTGGTTCCATGGTTCACATTTTTCTCTATGTGCACATCATGTTGTTCCCTGTTGTTGGTTCCTTTCTCTTACGCGTCTCTCGCTTCGAGCTGTCAAGTGGTTTTCATGGGCAGCCCGAATTCGATTCATTCGAAGTGGTTCAAGTTGCGGTGATGACACCTGGTCATTACTCACATGTCCACATTTGAGCTCAAAGCAGCAGATCTCGTCCACTTCGTCGGCTGCAACCACAGGAAGCAACCACTTCAACATTGCAGAACCAGAAAACCGAAGGCCCGAACACCTTACAGCTTGTTTCTGCTGAAATGATCAGGGTGGAGAGGACGTATGAAGCTGGAATCTTTCCTGAATGCTTGTGCAAGCAGTTCTTGCAGCTCTTAGCTGGACGCCACCATCCAGAGGAGCCGGGACTGCAATGTGACCATGCAACGATGCATGACATCTGTGATCGCAACTCCACAAAATGTCCAAGAGATCGTGAATGGTGACTGTGACCAGACACAAGATGCCTTCGTCGAAGGACAGAGACGATCGTACATTTTAGGGTGTGCTATGCATGACAAAGGTCAAGCACGCAAGGCAGGGCTCTGCTTACTTCTTGCATGCTTACTAGACGTTCAAAAGCCAACTGATTTGTTTGAGATTAACTTGAACTTGCACAGCTTGAACCTTTCCAGATGCCGAACACCGCATGTTTTTGCGATTGATGGCCGGCTGAGTGATGATGGGCCTTGAGCCCGACGCCATTCCCGAGTCAGCCCGCCGCACGAAGAGCCGGAACTGGAGCATTTCTTGTTGAGGCCCCCACAAGTTTCCGAATACTTGAGGTGAACATTCCCACAAAGAGCCGCCCAAACCTGAGCCCAAACTAGAACTGTTGCGGTTCAGGCCAAGAGCAGTTGCGCTTGTTGATTTGGAATGACCAGTCTGAAATTGGCCAGCATGATTGGTATCGTGCCTTTTCCACAATACACAGCAGCAAGGGTCATATGTTTTTGCCAATGTTGCCTCTGTTTACATGTCCAATAATCAAGTTTCGCAGCATTCTCATTCGTTTTCGCGCTCCAGTGGGACAAAACAAAATCCATGTGTTGATCATATCAGCCAACAACAATAACAGTTCTTTTGGCTCAGACACGCTCTCTCCACGCTATCAGCATTTTGTACGGCCGCCAGCAATGTCTCGGTGGTTGTTTCGAGGCTCTGTTGTAATCATGTGTGCAGTGTCTTTGCATACGCGGGAGGAACCCGTGGGTTTTCCTCAATGGAACAATTTTTTCAACGGGCATGTGACAGGGAACGCCCAAAATGAGAAGATGTTCGACACAGTATCTTGGGTCACATTTGGCTGAATTTGAACACTGATATGGCAATGGTAATATTCTCAGTCCTTTGATGAGGCCTGAAAACTCTTGGACTTGGAACTCCCATCTGATGATTCCAACAACTTATCACTTTTAAGGCTGCCTTGTCCTGCAGGAAACAACTCAAGCATTTGTGACAGCTTTCGACTGCCAGGTTTCGTGGCCTTGTCACTTCAAGCTGCATGTTCCGAGACCCAGACCCATGGAATGGTATGCGGCAGAGCAGACCTGTGGTCAATCCAAAACTTGGTGCAGGGATTGAAGGGACGACCACTTGACTCCAAAACTTTCAATCTTTTCGGTGTAGAGCCAGGTGGAGTATGCTTGTTCCAGTTTGACTTTTCCATTGCCTTTAGATTCTTGCCCAGTGATGCTCCGTTGAAAAAGTTCTTGCAGGATTGTGTGGATAGTGAATCAAATTTGTGTGTTTCTCAGCAAAGAACCAGAGGGATTTCGGACCCACAACCCCACATGGACAAAGAACACGACAATGTATTGAGCCAAGACAATCTAAGCAATCCCGAATTTGCATCGCCAGCACGCGTGTGCCTCCAGTACCCGGAGTGTTGTCGATGTCTCATGTGGTACCCAGACCCTGTGGTTTCATGACCAAACTAAGGACACAAAAAAAAATGCACAGTTCCCGAGAGATAGACCCTCACCACTTTACCTTTTAGATCCCTTTAGTAGAAAAGGGTCAGTTTGCCCTCCATTTTGGGTTTCTGAAAGGCTTTTTGAGCATCTCAATCTGCTGTACGCATAGGTGAAATGGGATGGCCGATGGCACAATCCCAACAATGAAACGAAGTTCCATATTTGATTTTGCTGCAATCAGAGGGATGCTCATCTCCACGGGCCGGGCTGGGCACGTGCGTGTTATCTCTGTAATGAAAGAGGACCTACTGTAACTGTAACTCCTTTGCCTTCTTCCTCTTTGCTGCACCCCACTGACCCGCCCGTCGGGTCCGCTTGAGGTGCCGAAGACCAAGACCTTCTTTTGGGCGACAGCGAGTGCGTCGAGCAGGGAGAAGACTGCACGCTGCAGCCCGGTGAAGCGAAATGGCTGGGTGACACTCCCTAGAATCATCATGGAAGTGGAGTTCACCACCTGCTTCTAGAGGAACATGGTCATCCTAAAGGAACCATGTTCCACTTCCATGGCTGTTTCAGGGAGCGGGATTTGGACGAGCCCTTTTTGCTTCCTTCGGCCGTCCGTCGTTGTGTGAACGCCGATGGGGGCGAGGCTCTCGGTGTTCGCCGTTCTTTCGTCGCTGTGGTGCAAAGAAGGTCACCCCGTTTGTTCTTGAAAGAAGGTCCTCTTCATCGGCGTTTTATTTTCCAGAAAGAGAGATGAACGATAGCATTGGATAGCGTAACTGGCGCAATTTGACTGGGCGCTCTTCAACGATGGATCCATGAAGCTGGATCCATGAAGTAGCGGAAGTGCTGGATCGGGCGAGGACGGGGATTCTGGCGGCATCTCAGAGGAACTACACATTTTGTGTCGATGATTTTGTTCGTGTAAAAGTGATGTGATCCGCGTTTCCCAGACAACGAAATTGTTGGAAGAAGTCATCAATCCATGACAACTTGGATCCTCCAAAGTGTTGTTGGTGTTTTGAAATGGTGTCGGAACGATTTTCCAGACCCTTTGGTGGAGAGTTCACACGTGTGTACATCGTTAGCTGAGATTTCTTGGGTATTGGTGGCGTGGGTTCACCAAGCTTGAAGCGGGGATAAGCTCTAAAGCCAACTTCATCCAGATTGTGTGCACATGTTTGCCAAGATTAAATGGTTGGAGGATCAAACTTTCTGTCCCTGGGAGTGAGAGTGGAATCGAATAGAGTCCGCCCATCCATCAACCGAGGTGCTGAATTCCTCTAGATATGAATCCCGTTTTGTGAAGCCGCTTTCACTAGGGTCTGGAAGTCTTAACAGGTCTCTGCAAACTAAGCTCTTCTTTCAAGCGATGGTATGGGGGAAGCCATGGGGAAGCCATCCACACTCGTTTGAGATGGCAAGTCGATGACCCAGTCGTCTTCGGACGCTACGAACGGAGCATTTCGGGCATCGCTACGAACGGAGCGATCGGACACTACGAACAGGGCTCCTGGCCGTACTACTAGGAACAAGAATCTATTAGGAACAAGAACTAGAATTAGAATCTAAATTAGAATTAGGATGGAACGGCTCAGCTCGGCCCGGCTCCGAGGAACGCCTTGCAGCTTCAAGCGCTGAAGCGCGCGGAGGGGCCTGCGGCCGCCGCCTGGAGCCAGTGTGGCGGTGCGAAATGGAAGGTGCAGTGGACATACCGAAGCGAAGCGACAGAATTGGGCTCCACACTGAAGTCCTGCTTTGCCTTCTTTGGATCCCATCCCCAGTCCTTGCAGTCGGACAGTTTAGTTCTTTGTTTTTCTGGGATCTTTTTGAGTGTGATGCCCTTGCCGGCAAGGCAGAGCATTTGACAAAGACCAATATCTCAGAATGCCAAAGTCAGCCTTGACATGTCCCATATGCAGAGGATTAGAGTTGCCGCATGAAAGGGTTCAGTATGGTTCAGTCAATTTGCCGTATAGTTCAGGATGTTTGGATGGGGTTGAGGCAGGCTTCAAAAAAGTATTTCATGTTATTTGTGAAATTTCATAATTCACGTGAACTTTCCAAACACGTCGATCATGAACCCGGTCGGTCAATCCTCGATGTATACTCTTCTTGGGCATCAACCCTGTGGAGTTTCAAGTAGGGAGGGAGCACTGGAGTTTGACCTGCAGCCGTGGCAGGGCGCCACCACCTGCACAGCTGGCAACTTGTTGAAAGTTTAGTCTTGAAGACTGGCTTGAACTTTGCAGTAGCTGATCCGACTTGCCAAATTTCGTACTCAAACAGCTAGCACGTACCTGTTTTTTTGAGCGTTCCCATTTGTGGCTTTGGATAGTGGCTCACTCCAGTGGACAGTTTCCCACCCATTTGTTTGAGTGATTCTTGCTGGGGTGAATGAGTCATGAGTGCATGTAGGCTCTGCATGTCTTGAACTCCACATGCTTGTGGGACATTGTCCACTTATCTTATAGCTATCAATGCATATATGGCAATATGGCATATATGACATGTATATATTTACGCATGTGCCCGAGACGGTCTGCCAAATCTTCAGGAAATGAATGCGTGAAAGTTGATGATTGGTACTCCCAATGCCGACCGAAGGCGGGAGTTGTGGCTAGACGGGAGATCAATGGGCTGACGGACACGTGAAAGCTCAAAGTGGGGTTTGGATGGCGAGCCGAGGCTATTGGGACCCGGGGCCATGAATGAATCCACACAGCAGTCCGCAAAGAAATTCCGGAGAATCAGCCAGCTCCTTGCTTTTGTTGGGTGCACCTGCGATCGTTTGGCCCTTTGCTCAAGTGTGACAACTTCGCGTTCTTTGCCAGTATTTGTAGGTTTGCCTAACTTGCATTCAGCGGCATGGTGCAGCGGCTTGCCGTGTTCCTGCTCCTGGCGGCGGCTTCGGCCAGCCGAATGGTGGAGACTCACCTTGATTTCCCTCGTCCCGAAGAGCAGGGTGCAGAGCCATGGTGGCGCAAGTTGCACCGGCGGTGGAGAAAAGGAAAGAAAGGGGAGAAGTGCACGTGTAGCTAGGCGTCATGTTTATTGTTTTTGTTTGAATTGGGTAGCATTCCATTTTTGGGTCTTTCACCACTGCATGACTGCCGGGTAAATCTGACCGTTTAGGATTATGTAGGTTATTGCGGCTTTGCAGCTGCTGCTTGAAAACAAACAATTAACTAATACGATAAATTCTTCTGAAAGTCCCCGGACACATCTTCACTGAGGTGGTGAGGTGGACTGGAAGGAACAAGATTGTTGTGGGCATGACTTGATTTGTGCAAAGAAGACTGGTACCTGCGAGCCATCCTTGTTGTCTGAGTGCTTTGGAGACTTCGAGTGTGAGGCGAGCTCAGAGAAGCTGTGAGGAGCAAACTAGCAAACCTTTTCGTGGGGTTTTTAACTTTTGATTGCTCAAGATTCGCCAACAAGGCTGTGTATCACACATTCCAGGCAGTGAAATCAGTTTTTTTTGGCAATATCCAGGCAGTGAAACCCTTGGTGATCTTGCTCAAGAGGAATCTGACACGATTCAGGGACCCCCATGGATACCCTAACCACCTCACTATTGATTGCATCCTTGGTTTTGCGGACATCTTCTATCAAGGGCTCCGCAAGCCCCAAGTCACAGGTCCTTGCCCTGAGCAAGAATAGAAGAGTGGCAGGTGATGGTGGTATTTTTGAATTTGCTCAAGAGGATTTTCTGTTCCGTTGGGTCCCCCAAATTCTGAACAATGTGCTTCAAATTCCAGCTCCACCTTGTTGCTGTTGTGGTCTGGTTCTTCTTCTCTCATGTTTGCCTTGGTCATCCAGGAACTATGGCCGAGAGATGGCGTGCAGTCGGTCCAAGGCGGATGATGTCGGGCGTGCATATTTTTGGGGACACAAGGACCGGGTCAGCCCCTGAGTTGTTCTTTTTGCAGAAGCGAAGCGCGACACCACGAACGTGCGGACGAACATGCCAACAACGGTTCGTTGTTGGGTTGCTCCACCTTCGAAGACAACAAACTGCTATTGACTTGGGCTTTTGAAACGGTCTTTGTCGTTGAGTTTTCCGTTTGCATCTCCCGATTGAATTGCTGTAAGTCACATTGACATTGCTGCTGCTGAAGTCCAAAGAATGTGATACAGACTGTTACCATGCGTCCGTTCACTGCCATGTTCTCCGTCCGCCTCGGGAGTCAGAAGAACGCTCGACGCTCCGGAGAAGAACATGCGATGCGACGTGACGCGGCCGATGGAACCGGGCCATGGGGTTCAGCTCCATGCCTAGGAAAAGCCTCGCAGACCTGTCTACGTGCGACAACGTAGACAGAGTCTGCTCAGAGTTGTCATCTGTGCGTCAGAGTTGGACAACGGCAGCATTCTCAAAGCACAGATCATAACAGGTGTGGCCCTTGCCTATTTGGACGCCAGCTCAAAAAAAGTACAGTAGTTCATGGGAGGAAAGGACACGGTTCTCCTCCACAAAGTTGCATTGCGCAAAAGCAACGCATGATCAAATTATGTTGCGGCAACGACTGCAGCGCAATTGTAGCTAAACACTGGCAAGCTCATCATGCAGGCACAAGTAGAGACTTGTAGTTTACATCTTCCTTGATGGTTACGACTGCCGTTTTCTCGGTTCTGAAAATTCACAGTAACTATTTGTGATCATATCTTGATCCTTCTCAATTATGTTGAGGATTCATCACTGTGTCCTCAGAGACCCTTCTCAAGTTCTAGGGGTTTCGCTGAATAAGATGGGTCCTCGAGCTCTTCGCTGAGGTCTGCTGTATTCGTGGCATCAGCCGCAAGGGACTGGAAGAGAAGAGCGACTCCGAGATCTTGCGACACGATTCTGTGGATGGAATACAGGCTTCGTCCTTGCATTGCTGCTCCATGGAACCAGTCCATCTTACATTCCTTGATGGCAGAGTGGTGGAGTTCTGCAGCACATATGAAGAGGTCTATCGTCCTCCTCCACCCGAGAGCACTACATAGAGCCCAAGACATACGCGCCCCCCCCCCCACCACGGCTGCGCTTGTTGGGAAGGAAAAAGGACCCGAGGTTCGGAGTGATTGGGACTGGTTGGGACTCTGTTTTCTCGGTGATGAAGAAACCAAGACCAGCGTACATCAAGACCCAGCGCCTTGGAACCTGACCCGGGACAAGGGACTAGTCGTTGAGCGTGTGTATGAGCTCCGTCATTTATGTGGGTGATACCCAAAGCAGCTCATGTTCATATGCCCGCGAAGATTAATATGGAACCTGAAAACCACTGGATTGTAGAGGAAAATTATCTTCCAAAGGTCCATTTTCAGGTTCCAAGTTAATCTTCCCAGGTGTAGCTCCCGAAAGTGTAATGAAGGCCTTTCACACACCTCAGATGATCCTAGATCTCATTTTCTCAGTGACATGCAAAACTACCACCGGCCGTCGACATCTCTCCAATAACATGTGAAAGACAACTCCTGTGCCATGTGAGTGTCGGAGAAGTATTGGTTCCTTAGGGCTTCTGAATCCCAGTCGGAGACAAGCCCAACCACGTTTGCCTCCACCCACTTTCAAGTGGCTGCCTCCTTGCTGCTCATCCGCCTGGCAATGCCAGGAGTCTGCTTCGCCCGCCCCTGCACCTCAACCCAAGGCCAGGTGCTCACGGCACGCGGGGCTTTGTAGTGATGAGACTCTTTTGTTTAAAGCAAAGCTTTTGAAGAGGAGATCACGAGATCCAATGGTTTGGTTTTCTGTCTTTACTGGTATCAGTCCAAAACTACGACCTGAATGCAGCCATGATATGCTATCATTAGGTTTCCGGATTGACTGGATGGAACCTGTGTGGGAGTCCATGCTCTTTGGCAAGTTCCGTGCAGGCCGCTGATGCTCCAGAACCAGAGGCACCCAAGCCAGCTCAGCCAGCTTCCACTGCTAGCATGTCACTTCCGAAAAGACCTCCACAGCCAGACGCTTTGCGAAGTAAAGAGGTCCAGGAGGAGGCGGCATAACCACCTTGGTCGGTCCAGAGTCGGGCGCCAGAACTGCCTAAACACCTTGGGTTCCTGGGGTTCCAAGACCGATTTTGGACTGGAAGAATCTCCGGAACAAAGAGCTTCAAAGCCAATCACTTTCGGCCATTCAAAATTCTTTTTACTCTTCCTCGAAAGATCCATGAAATCGTGATTTAGTTTTTGTTGAAACTGCCAGAGGTCAAAGTCGCATATGGCGCTATTTAGTGACGTGTTATAATTTTATGTATATATATATATATTTTGTCTTTCTCCAGTCTCTCCCAAAAACGATTTCCTTGCATTCTTCACTGCCTGGTGATTCCAACTGCCCAGAGTTGTTTCACTGGTGAGGCCTGCCCCCCAACTGGCCATATCACCCCTCAACTGGCCATATCTGGCTTTATGAAGCAGACCTTCCAATCGTCCACCTCACGGTGAATCACCTCGTCCACCTCGCCTCGTCGAAATTCTGAGGCACCGAAGAGCTACACCACGGTGAATCCCATCATCTCCCGTGGCAACTTCCTCTACGATTCCGTGCCCTGGACAGACCACGCCAGCAAGGTATGCACCGGTGCACCACCATGCGTTTTGCGTGTTCTTTTGGATTCCGGTAGAAATGGATTCTTGTGAGGTCCCACGGAAGGGGGATGCAGGGGGAAGTGTTTGCACATGCACTGAAGTGGCCCAGCTGTGGTGCTTAAAACTTGGAACCATTTTGCAACAATTGGCAAACGCCATTGCCAAACAGCAACGCGTTCTGTTTTCAGGAAATTCTCTCTCTTCCTCTCCCTTCTCTCCTTCTCTCCTTCTCTCCTTCTCTCCTTCTCTCCTTCTCTCTCTCTCTCTCTCTTTCTGTTTTTCTCTCTTTTTCTATCTTTTTCTCTCTTTTTATTTTTATTTTTAAATATCTTTTTATCTCTTTTAACCTCTTTTTATCTCGTTTATCTCTTTTTCTTTATTTTTTGTTTCTTTCTTTCTTTCTTTCTTTCTTTCTCTCTCTCTCTCTGTGAGGTCACAGGCAAGCGCTTCTTCGCGAAAGGCGTTGCGTACAACCCTCGGAATGAGATGCTTTGGCCGAATGGGTTTCATACTTTCGCTGCTTGCGCCTCCAAGGGTGCAGCGAGTGTTTTCATTTGCAGCTTCGAGTTGACCAGTGAGTGGAACTCTCGAGGGGCCGATCTTGAGTGGTGCGGTTTGTTCTTCTAGGAAGCCAGTCTTGTTTTAGGTGGCTGAAAGAATCAAGGTCCTCAGTTTCTTTTAATCCTGTAAAACACATCAGAAAAGACTAAGCCGGTCAGACCAAGTGATGCTTGGTTTTTCTCATTTGGTCCGCTACACTGCGTGGGTGAGCCTGCACAGACCCTGGTAGGAGGTGGGGAGGAGGTGCAGCAGCAAAAGAGCTGCCGGGGGAAGACCGCTCGCTAGCTGCTGTGCACGCTGCCTCCAAAGTCCAGTGAATCTGATTTCTGCCGACTGGGTCATTGTTCAGGACTTGTTGGTCGGGCTGCTGGCTGGTTTGACGTTTGGCAGTGGGCAGTAGGTCTGAAGTCTGTGGCTTTGGGGCTTTTGCCATATTGCTTTTGCCACGCGCTCCTCCTCCAAGGAAGTATTCCCACGAATTTGGCCCCAGCGTGAAGATCCCTGGCTGGGTAGACAAGTGTGTTCCTGGCAATCCTGAGGGAGGCGCAGCTGGCCGGGGAGGTGGTGGATGGCTGGTAGGTGTCCTTGCTTGGGACGACTGGGGTGCCTCATTCATCGTAAGTGCACAAGCTTTGCAGTTCTAGCAAGTGCTGATCCCAAAATTCCTTTTGTTGTTCATGTGGATGTGGAATGATTTGTGTCAAAAACCATTACGGCTAACAGCTGGTTAGCACCCAAATAGTTTGCGAGTTGGTTTCTCAAAAGCTGCTCCACAGACTCTAATCGATTGTTGACAAATCGTTCCGGTGCTGCCCTACTGAGAGCTAGACTCCTGTCATTTTTTTTGCTGTTGAAGCTCTTGTGGCACAGCCACAGATGGGCACGTGGAAGGCTACAGGGGCTACTCAGCGGACGTGCAGACAGATGCCCTGGAAGAGTATTGGACAGCTGATCTTGAAGCGAGCCTTGCTGGAATTTTGAGTTTTCAGGGCACTTCCCCTTTTTAGTTTGCGTGAGGATCCTGTGGCACTGGCCCCAGGTCATTTGAGGTACGTGCCTTCCTTGCGCTTTCGAAACCAGAGTTTCATCCCAGTCACAGACTGGATGTTGGATGGCTGTAGCAATTTCTCTGACCTCTCATCAGATCAATGTCACTCTTCTGATCTGATCAAGCAAGGATGGCCAACATGGGGGCGAACACCGTGAGGCTTTACAACGTGCCTTCCTGCGGGTTTGGTTTGCAACGCGTGTCAGGAGTTGGACGGTGAGAGGACATCGACAGGGTGACACATCCAATTGCAATCGATGTTAAATTCACTCTCGCCCGGGGCACAGAGAGTGTTTGTTTACCAGAAGCTTTTTGTTCCAGACTTCGTTTTCAGACAGAACTCTGTGGTGATAAACACCTGCCTGTCTCAACTTCAGCAGCTTCAGCTTGTTTCCCAGCGTGTCTGGTGGCTTGGGGTGGCCATGGTGAAGCTTGTCTCCCAGCCACGGGTGCTGAGTGGGGTAGTTCACCGTCGGTCACGGTTAAGTGATGTGACCAGCATCATGGTACACCATCACTTGACTACCATTTGGTGTTGAATGCCGTCCGCGCCAGATTGACCCACGGGAGAGCCACGAGAAGTTCATGAAGAAGGCCCTCTCCCTGGGCCTTTACGTCATTGTACCTCTCACTGGAAAGGACTGAAGAAGCAGAGACGGAGGGATCTTGTTTATGCACGGAATAGGTGTGGTGCTCGTGGTCTTATAGGCCATCAGAGTGTTCTCTTTTCTTAGTGCAGTTGTGCGCCTACTTCTTTCAACAATACCCCTCCCAGTGTTGTTGGTTTGTGTTTCTGGAGTTTGAGACCCTGCTCATATCAGAGCTATGAACATTTTAATTTGTGGACCTCACTTTCCGAGATCTCAGCATTTGGCAAGGCTTCCAATCCCGGACACACGTCACCCCGAACCTTGCACGTTGATCCGAAGGACTGGGGCTTCTTGCCCGCCTTCCCAGCGCCGGACTGCTACACACAGGACCCGGGACGTCGCCACGCCGTCCGCTGTGACGTAGGGGGCGGTGGGCAGTCAATCTGAGGAGATTGAGGACTATGGCAACGTGGGCAACAATGTTCTGGCCTTTGCCAAGACCGTCATGAAGGAGTTGCAGGTCTGCAAGATGGCCCCCAACCCTTTCGAGTCGTTCTTGATTTCTTGACGCAGCAGGAAGGGTTGAGAGCAGGACAACTCCTGTGGCATTCTGTGGCCAAATCAGCCAAGGTTTGCCCAGTACAACAACACGCTGATGTTCACCGCTGCCAATGAACTGGCGCAGTTGGACAAGACACTTGGCCCTGTTCCTGCACAGTCAGTGGAGGTTTGCAGTTGCTGTAGATTTGGAAGACCACCAACAGTTGTATCAGGACTGTGTTTCGCAGGCTTGCAGGCCGCATTAGTGTTGTGACCAAAGGCATCAAGCCTCAGTGGAAAGTCGCCTGTGCCGCCTCTGCCATTGTTTCAAGGAATGGATATGCAGCGTTCCCCTGTGTGAAAGCCTTTGTCCGGGACTTGCACAACCATCAGGCCCAGCTGTACAGTAGAGAAGGACATGTTTCGCAAACGGTTGACCACATCGTGACAGTTTCAAAGACCGGATTCGCCATGTTGACAAGCTCAGAACCAAGGATTGAAACCGTCTGATTGGTCGACCAAACTGCCCTGACATGAAGAACTCGAAAAGATTGTCGCAGACATGTTGGACTCTACTATGAAAACCAAACTGATGTGCTTTGCTTGGCCCGAGCATGGGTGTGACAGCTGCAGGCTGAGTGCAATTCCACAATGCGCACCTTGCTGCAATCACTTGTGGGACGGAAGAGGATGAGAAGGACTTGCTGTTTTGAAAGAATTTTAAAGG